TAAACTTTTTCCAGTCCGCTCTCAATAGTTTTTACACTTATTAAATATTTGCATGAACTATAACTGAATGAACTAAGTACCGAGATAGCGGTTGTGGTAAATTAATATCGCCACGTTTCTCAATTTAACTTTGAAAATCATTTTTCACTTTACAATCAATGAATATATTTTAAAAGAAAACTTCGTATGGAGTGGTTATGAATAACGTTAAAGTCGAAAGGCCAAATTTGAAATTCGTGCCATCAGCCCGCGTTCAACAGTTTTGAACACTAGAGTGAATATATTTGCCTTACTTGTGAAAAAAAAAAAAATGAAATAAAGATTTTTTGCTACTATAACAACCATAAAGTATTATCATAGATAGAATGAAAAAAACTCAGAGTTCATTTTTTACCTGTCGCCGTTGACGTAGATTATTCGATCGCAAGGAATACTTTTTTGCAATAATTTCCATAAAATCCTCTACAATACAAAATATTAACAGCGTAAAAAACGATCCAAAATAACTCACTTTCGGGTCACATCTACTCCTTTTTTTTAAAGTAAAAGCGTCTGGAAAACTATAAATAACGGAGTAAAATCTGATTTTCTCCATCACTCAACAAGTATTCGCAGGGAATACTTGTTGGGTGATGGAGAAAATTAATACGATGACCTTAGGAGTGATAAGATTATAATTGGCAAAATGATCATACAGTCACACTGGGCTTTTAATAGCGACAATTCATTTATTGAATGCGGAAAGTAATTCAGGATTGCACTGGTCTTCCTTCACCCTGCACTGAGATTGGTTCACACTCTCGACCAATCCGATGTAAAACCAAAAGGATGGCCCTTTCTTGACAATAATTTTTTTGCTCAAGACAGTTTGTGTATTTTCCTATGTTCTGTAACAGTTTTTGTGACAATCATCGTTTATCGAGCTAAGGCTCGAACCGTCACCTTAGAATTTCTTTATTGTGGTTAATTTACCATATTAACTCAGTTTATGAATCCACGCTATCTTGTTCCACTCCCCCACCGTCGAGGCATCATGGTTTCTTTAGAAACCGACCCCCTTTCAATATTATTTTAGTTTCAAAACACTCAGTAACAAAGATATTAACCAGACTAATTAACCCTATGGTCTGATCTTCAGTTTGAGGAAAGTCGTGAAGGGAACTGTTATCGGTACTGGTAGTAGTGAATGACGTGTCAACAACCAGAGCGGAGGTATTCAGAGTCATTACATCTGTACAGCTCGTCGATACGTCAGTCGCTGCTACCTCAGCAACGGTCCTCCCCAGGACTCCTCTCACCCAGACGATCAAAGAAGACATTCGACTGTTACTTATGTGTTGAAACTACTTGAAGTGTTAGGTTGGCCAATTGTCGCTGGATGTGAACTCCAAGTTCTAAACTGAACCTATCAGTAATTATTTTTCCTTTCCACAAGAAGAGGAAATTTCAGTCAATACAAACCTAAAGGAAATAGCTAATTCGTAAAAAAAAAAAATTTCCACATCGAACAATTTCACCACAGTTCAGTAGTTCTTGCGAAACAAAATGTGATTATATATGTGACAAAAAAAAAAAGACTGAATCTCAAGTTTGAATAAAGCCGGTGCATCATGCAGAGAGAAGAACATGATGGAAACAACAGATTAAAGATCCCCACGTTTAGAACAATAATGATGAAATAAAAAATAGTTATTGCATTGAGTCGTGTTTTGTAGACAACTCCTCCGACGAAGAGATTTCCAACCAGGGACAAAACCAAATTCATTAAAACAGAAAGAAAACGTCTGCTAGATTTTATCTGCAGAGACATTTATGCTGCAGCTTAAGTTTTATGTTCTTTTGAACCAGTATTTATGCTTACCAGTCGCCATTTTACTAAGACTCCCTTCCTCATCCCCCTACCTCCCTCCCGTTGTTAGCCTGTGGATAATGCCCCCCCCCCACCTCCCTCCTGTTGTTAGCCTGTTGATAATTCAAGGGTCTTTGAGATATCGTTTAAAAGGTACTTTTTAATTCCTTCAGATTATTTTTACAATGCGGGGTGTCCGCTTCAAATGAATGTAAGACACCCTTCAGCTGAACCTTAAAAACCGTTTTTCACGACACATTTCAATTTCAACGAAATTTAGATATAAGCAAATTTACATTGTGGGAAGGTTAAGAATGACTTACGGCAGACGGCAAAAATTGAACTTCTTGCCGGCAGTTTTCAGCAATTACTACATTAGAGTCGTGAGAGAGAGGGTTCTTTTGCTTTTGTTTGATTATCACTAAAAGAAAGCTGGTCAAAATCAGATTCCTTTTTAACTTTTTGCCGTTGCCGTAGACAAGAAGACTTGAGATCGAGATATCCAAGTCGACGGGTAGTATTGAGGCATTTAAAGTTTGTCGGCAGCCCGAGGCTGCCCATGGTCACATAGAAAGTCATACAGCTCACCCACTGTTCTCAAGTCATGTCGCATGACGATAACATCCAGGATGTTAGTGCCTTTTCGAAGGTTATTCACGTCACTTGGTCTCAAATGAAGTTTTCTAGCGAGATCCCATGGCATCCCACCTTGAGCTAAGATGGAGAAAACAAATCCTTTACATTAGTTGTGCGTCTCGAAATGTGACTCGTTCATAATTTAACGCCCTCTAGATCATCAATCATATGCGTGACCTCCTTCATGAACTCCTCGCAGAGACGCACTTATGGACCACTGTTATAAAAAAAAAAAAAATATCTGCAGTATCGTTTCATTTTCTTTTATGGGTCTATGAGATGCATTATTCATCTAAAGAATGGAGAAGGTGCAAAATTATAGACGCCATTAGAAAGAAGAATTTGAAATAAAGGAAGTTGTTCTGTTGCTTCAATATATCCTTCATTTACGCAATAATATCAAGCTTTATCAGATTTTATTGTAATTTGTTACCAAGAGAATGTGAATAGTTTATATTATCTTGCTGAAATTTAGTTCATGTTCCAAACATGCCTTGTGTGTAGCCTGCGAAGCAAGCCCTGGGGGAAAGGAGGGGGGATTGGGGGGAGCGGAAAGTGCGGAGGGGAGAGGGAGGGCTTGCCACAGACCCCACTAACAAACGAAACGCCCCCTTTTTTTCATATTCATATCGTTTTGCATATGTCAATTACCGCCTCTTAAAATTAACCAATCAGAAAGCGCCGTTAGCGAGAGCTCAGTGAACCATGCAAACTGTCAAAACAACAACTAAAACTTGCTCCACGTGAGTGAGAAATGTCAGACGACAAGGAGAATCTGGTATCAAAATCTAAGAGAGGGAGAAAACCAAAAGTTAATCCAGAAGACGTAGTTTTCCGATTTTGTGGAGTACATTTAAGGATTAAATTTGGGAGTGGATTCAAGAGTTTTGTAAACATTTTTAATCAGAGTCAAAGGGAAGAATTTCAGTGTCTTCTCCGATCGCCTTGGAACGGTCGGTTTTCACTTCGAAAATAAGTCGCACATATCTCAGATTATATGCCTTCCTTGTGCAAGAAAAGCTAACAATTTTTGCCAGTTTAATGAATTGTTGAATAAGGCCGCTTCTCAATGTCCGGATTCCCGTGATGTTTCGTCGAAATGAAAGTTCTCAACACCGACAGTAAAAAGTCCAGGTAGAAAGAGCTTACATGTCCGCTCGCCGGCACATGCAAAACCCACATCTAGCAGGGAAGCGTTGTTTGATTCGCCGACGAAAGAATAACCTTCAACTTCAGCGATGGATACAAATTTAAACATTGATGATTTGGATCCAACGTCCATCGGCTTTGCAATGTTGTGGTTAAGGGCAATTTTGAGAATGAAGACGCCATTCTTATCAAGGCCCTGAGCTTGAACAAGTGGATGGCTCCCACAAATATTCTACTTCGACATCGACTCTTGAGGGCAGAACTTCTCAAAATCACCGTCGTCCGCCATTTTCTAAAAGGTACTCGCCACGAAGACTGTTTAGTTCGAGGGTTGATTGACAACGTGTTTCTCTCAGCCAATACGAAGTTTTCGTCCATACGAGATCGGAAATTTCGTTGGTTAGTGGGGGTCTGTGGCAAGCCCTCCCTCTCCCCTCCGCACTCTCCGCTCACCCCAATCCCCCCTCCTCTCCCCCAGGGCTTGCTTCGCAGGCTACTTGTGTGGGTCTGACAGCGTGTTACAGTGCAAAGGTGTCCATTATAGGAAAGGGGTGACCCCTCAAGATTGCTTGCTCAGTCAGTAAAAATGATCACAAAGGGTATGGGTCACTCGGCTAGCCTAAAGCGCCGAGATCTTAGTAATCTTGGTCACCTTAGCTCGGGATATCGATTACTCGAAAAATTTGTATCGCGACGAATGAACATATCTGGAACATGCAAATGACTTCTATACTTGCTTCCAGGCGATTATTCCACGAAGCGTGACTTACTTTGCAAAAAATTTGATAAATGATCCTTTTTACTTTTCGGGACCTCCTCGATGTGCAAGTCATTAGGCAACCGAGGACCTGAATGAAAAGGAGAAATCGTCATAGAAATAAAAAGTGACTTGGTCTCAGTTGCTTCACACTAAAAAGCATAATTATAATACAGATGCAAATAATTTTCAGCGGTGGTGGCTTCGGTGCGAACACTCATAGCCCAGTTTTCGTAGTTAGAATATTTTCTATCTTGAATTTCACGAGTTGAAGAGAGTTCGGTGTCAAAGACCATTTCACCATTTTGTTTCCGAAGGTACATTGCAATTGGACATCACTGTTTAAAATTCAATCAGATAAGTATCAAGGATAATCTAAGAAAACTATGGTAAACAACAAACCTGTTGCTCCTGGTGGTGTGATCTTCCTTAAGTGATAGAATACGTCCATTCTTTTTAATTTTTTCGCTTTTCTCGCTAAAATACGGATTACTGTTTCGTCCTCTGGGGTTGGATTTCTGAAAAAGCCCAGATCTATTTGTAGGGAACTTTCCAGTTGCTGCATAATAGCTTTTGCACTGCTTGACGATGTTAAAGTAGATTCTGCAAAATCAGAATCCAACAAATAGATGAAATTTTTATTGCAATACCATGTAATAAACTGTATATGCCAGTCTAGACATTCCTCGTGGTGACCACTCCAAAGTCAATCATTTAGTTTTGCGGGACTGGCCTGCATTCATCCACTTCCTTTCTGAACCTTTCATGGTTTCTAACGTGGTTCTGAACATTTCCATCTCTTTCTTCACTTTAAGAGCTTTATATCCTACAACAATCGAGGATGCACTAGTACTTTGGCTTAAATTCTGACCAAACAGAGGGGTACGTTACACAAGGAAAGGCTATTTTGAAATACTTTCCATCGTAGAAAAAATAACATATCAGCCTCCTCTCTAGTAACCGATCTCGAAAGCCAGCAATTCATTATTTCAGCCACGCTTGACCTTCCCCTGAAATTAAATGCACTAATTTTCCTTTGAAGAGTCATATCAGTAACACGCCCCCATCTGGAGCACTCGATTGTCTGTGTGCTACTTGTTTTAAAAATTGGGCTTTATAATCATTGATAGAATCCGCTTTTGACGTTACTCAATTAATCAATCGCTTAAATAAATTATTAACTGCTCTTTAATAATAATCATAATAATAATAATAATAATAATAGATAGATAGATAGATAGATAGATGGTTTTATTCAAAAACTTAGCAGCCAAAGGGCTGAATTATGTTGTTTTTACAATACTAAGAAAAGATATATATAAAAACTAGACAAAAAAATTACAAAATGTATTTAAAATGTGAAAAAATAATCTATACCTGTATGTATATGTATATGTAAGTGCATAAAAGACAACAAGTTGAATAATCAGATATATTACATAATTACATGTTCATAATTGAGATAATTTTAATTTTAATAAATGATCATAAGACCTTCTCATGGGTATGTATCTCTGAATGGCTCATTTAAGCTGCTCCAATTGTCCATGGCATCTTTGATTAGATCTTCGAACTAGTCTAGCTTTTCAAGTCGGTCTGCTGAGGATAAGCGAATTTTTTTGCTTAGTGAGAATAACAAGGATTTAAATTTTGAGCTTGGTAAGGATATAGAGAAAATTTTTTTTTCCTCTTGTCACGAGGGCGGGACGAAGAAAAAACCCTAAGTTTCCAATTTCGTAGTTGCCTAGCTCACCGTAGAGTTTCTTTTCCACGGTGACAGATCATCGAAACGCTTTTAAAATGTCTTAGGTTCGATTCCTCGTGAGGACCTTTTCTACTGCCCCAAGCTCGCAACAAGACTGATTGATCGCTGCGACATTCCTTGCCTTTCCTTACACTTATTTAACGTTGATAGGAGGGAGATGGCATTACAGACTATGACAATATGAAAAATGTCACCAAATGTGAGGATTTGGCCTTCTGTGAATTCGTCGGTAGTGTTCGAGTGAATATTTGAGGATGTATTTTCACATCCGGCTACATTGTTTGAAGCAATGGCCACACCCAGCTGCCATAAATGTAACAGGGCAGCAATGCAATGATTGTTACTTTTCCCCTTGATATGAATCTTGACACGAAAGCAAGGTTTGTAAGACCGAGATATCTGACACCAACATTTATGGTTACACTTGACCCGAGAAACCGAGGGAGAAGGACGATTTTAATTATCAAAACTCGACGCTAGAGGATGGATGCAACTGTCAGTAAATCATTTTGTTGGAGAACGAATATCACCTTTGTCGAGTCCATATTCAGATGGGGCACTACTTCTGGTTCCTGTTCCGCTATCACTAGGAAGAGTGATTTCGCTGTAGGTCTCCTGAAGATTTTCCAAATATTCTTCTACTCGAACTTTTCTGAGAAATGGTAGAGAATCCTCCGCCAAAAGATCTTTTCTAGTCGCTGTGATCATGTTTCTTCAGGAGGTCTGAATCAGAACTTAATCGACCTTTTAGTCCTCTCTTTTCTTGAAGTTTCATTTCTAAAAATTTATCTTAAAAAAAGCAATATATTGGTGAATTAAGCAGTTTGTTTTCACATCATTTGCAAAAAAGAGCATTGGATGATAATCAAGTTCTCAGACATAAATTATACGCTTTCCTAGTGAGAGCTGACCCACTAGGGGATTGAAGCTCATTTCTGGTAAATTAGGTTTTTTACCCACCACTCAAACATCCATTTCAAATGAGCTTAGAAACAGTATATCGAGTCATTTCAAGTCAGTGCAATTCATTACATGGGGCTGTTTTCGTGGAGGAATTTAGGCTTAGTTCAGACCATAATTAATTTTGTGAAGCTTTTGCTACGTGAAGAAAAAGAAAAACAACTTCTTGAACGTTTCTATAGATTACGAGCAACGACTCTTTCCCAGATCAATCTATCGGTTGCCTAAACAGACAGAAAAAATAGTGTTGTGATTCCCAGGCACTTTTTTCACCGGTGCGACAGAGCAGGCCGAGAAAGAGGAAATCTTGCAAGTCTATAATTTCAATTTCTGTACCACTGTCCTTTCCGTGGAACAAATGTATCCTCGATCATGTAATCAACCATAGTACAACTATGATAACACGAAATGTATGGTTTCTTATTTTTATTCATTTATTTTTTAATATTGGGAAAAGAGAAAAGATTAAAACAAAACACAATTTCTCTTAAGAATTGCCCGATAACTACCCTAGTATCCACTTCGCTCGAGAATTTGCCTGTATATTTCTCTTTTATCAAAGGGAAAATTTATCTGAATCTCTTGCGGTACAGGAAAATCCCCTCCCATATTGAATCCAAATTGAAACAAGATTGAATTACTGAAAATCAGCTGCCGAACAGCAGTCGGAAATTCTGTGGTTAAAGGGCTTGGGCCTCATGATGTGTTCGAATTGATCCCACACGAGGATGGATTATAACGCCAGACGCTATTAGTTACCAATTTTTCTGTTTTTTTTTTTTTTTCTGTTTTCGCTTTAATCACATCTTCTAAGATCCTTATATTCCAATATTGGACATAAAAAAGAGACGCTCTTATTTTCACAACAAGCCACAATGGATGGGATTTAAGGTATGATTACCTTCTGTTTCTGATATCAGCAAATCCAACTTGGCATTTCTGTATTCATCCTTGTCGATGTGCACAGTCAACATCACTTCATCACCTGCCAGCTACTTTATTTCCTCAGTAACCAGGAAGTCCTGTATGTTTGTCTGCGGCGTTTCATCTTGATAACTTTGCCACAATGCGTCAAGATCGGAAACATTTTCTGCTTGAATTGTTAATCGGCTCGATCCTTCACTAATTGCACGTAAGAAATTGCCAAATGGAAGAACAGCTTCGTTGAAGGCATTGACAAATTCTTCCAGACTGTTGCTTTTGCGAAGGACCATCCATGTAGTGACAACCACAGCACCACCAGCAAGCCTTGCGGAAAGTACAATGAGGTGTAATAACTGTTAAGAAAGAAATAGTGATATGTTTTCTAGTCTGTTCCGGGCACTCTGATTCTGGAGTCAAACGAGCTAACGGGGCGAACGAGGGAAAAAACGATCGGAAGAACAAGGATAAAAACCCTTCACAGACTCCCTAGGAGTTGTGTTTTTCTTTCAATAAAGGTTGTTGTCTTAATTATGCGACCAAAATGTGATGAATAAGGAACATAATCTTAAGAAATTATCACTACTCAACCAAAAATTAATCAGGTATCGAAATAGGCGTAGGATCGCGCGTTACAATTCTCTGGACTACTGTAACGCTGCCAATTTATGCAGCATTGTCTCCTTATTAGGCGCTATTAACAAGGAATATTTTTGTAGCTTAGAGAATCCACTCATTTTGGTTTACCTCGTTATCAGATCTCTAAACATTATCTCACCTCCTACTAATCTTTCTCCAATGTTTACACCACAAGCCAGAACAGATGCAGCCTGGGCTGATATATAAAACAAGAATTCAGTGAGTTTTAATACAAACCAAAAGTCATTTCAGAGCTGTAATAGTTGCCAACTAGCACTTTGAAAATATCCAAAATAAGAAAATTTATCATTTGCAATCATATACAAGTGGTCTGAGACTTTACATCAATCCGTAGAACAATGTTAATAAAAATTATTATATGAAAGGTCTGATCGGTCCTCTGAGACTGAAACCCCTTGATTGTTGAGATATTAGACTGAGACACGAGTGACCCTTTCTCTCGTGACATTCTTTTGTAATAATTATGAAACGATCGCCGTAATCATGACCTTTTTGTTTGGTGTAAACGGACACTTCTGAATAAAATTAATTAGATAAGTGTGTCCACTGCCATTGACACAATAAACTTGTTTGGCTTAACCCAATAGATAATTGACTATTTATCAGAAGTTTTGTACGCATAGTCTTAGTCAACTCACTCAAGTGTTTCACAATCCTCGGCGTTTCCGTAGCCCGATTTTAGTTGTGTTCAACTGACACTATTAACATGTATGTCTAAACATTTCAAACACAGTGACGGAAGATTTAACTGATTGCCTTCGAATTTAAGTAGCGAAGGAGGGGTTGTAAAGCTTCAGAAATGTTTCATTAGGAGTGATGTTTCGTTGATAGGTGAGTTTCTTACCTCGTCTTCTTCGTTTACAGTCCTCCCAATCTTTCTTTTCCCTCTCGGCATCTTCTTCCTGTTTTCGTCTGCTCTCGAAATCCTTGATTAGTATACACAAATCCGGTTTCTTTGGCTCATTTACCATTTTTTTTTAGGATATCTATCCCCAATTTATTCTGTTGTTCTAATTCTGTGAATAATGCATAAACATTTATGATATTCTCATTTCGTTCGCTTTCGTGGCTTATTAGATTTCGTCTTCTGCAGATTGAAATGAGCCGTTGCAGTTCATTATAATCGTCGAATGCACGACTTACTTGCTCCAGTAATTGTTTGTAGTCCCTTCTCTTAATTTCGAATTTTTCCACTTCTCGATTAAGATCCCATTTTTCGATCCCTAATAATAATAATAATAATAATAATAATAATAATAATAATAATAATAATAATAATAATAATAATA